TGGTTCATGGGGTCACGAAGAGTCAGACACGACTTAACGACTGAACAACAAGAAGAAGTTTTACCTTGTGATGAAGAAACTTCTTTTGTGTAATTGCAGTGCCAGATGGGTATTTATTGCTATTTGCAAATTTTGGAAGAGGGCAAATATGATATTCAATGTTGCTTTCGGTATAGGATAGTGGTAGCTTGAACTCAAACAGTCCTGGACTAGGATTCTGAAAAGACAAAGAAGAGAAACACTGAAGCAGGAGCACTCTTGGGCTGACTGGGGGAAAAAAGGAACAACTAATTGTGGAACAAAAACAAAGAAAAGCTTACCATCATCTTGTATAGCTTTTGCTGCCATTGAAAAGGAAGCATGCCAGCGTATAAAATCAAGTCACCCAGGAGCGAACGCCAAGACTGGCAGAAGGACTATTAGCCTAGCAATTCTGAATGTTCTGACTAGCAGTCCTGGTGAGTTTAACTCATCATGCTAAAATATGGTTTGCTCCTTTTCTGCTGTGGGAAAGTAGCCGCTCTGGTTTGTATCTTAGTGGGCCATGCAAACCTAACCAACAATGCTCAAATACCGTAAATCATGCCTAAAAACCGTTTTACAGCTGGAGGCTGCATTAAAAAAAAAAAAAAAGGCTTCCATCCAAGGGCCAAATGATACTTGGCTCCTGATGGAGTGACATCACTGGAGCATGAAGGGCTATAACTTTTTGCCCTGGGAGGAACTGTTTGTTTAGGGAACACCCTAGCTAAGATTTATTGAATAAGCAACACTGGTTGCATTCTCACAATACACTTAAAATACTAAGCCAGAACCAAACAAATCATACTATGCTTCAGCACAACATGCAGATGCAACCCTTGTATCAACACACTTCAGTGGGCAGTAAGAAACATCCAAGAACAGGAATAAAATCCAAGATCATAGCAAACAGATGTTAATTACCTCTAGACTAGACTGACCATTCCCCCAATATTAAATAAAGTGTGTGTGAGTGTCTGTATGAACAAGATCAAACACATGTCCTAAAATTCTACAGCAACAATCTTAAATGTGTACATTACTCATCCTTTGTTGGTGGGACAGCTTCCTTGCTCTGTCTTTTTTACTCACAAAAATTTGAAGTGGATGATGGCTTGGAGGGTGAAGCAAAGCTTCAGGAGCTTTCAGGTTTAAGAGGGAAGTGTCTAGTTCCTCATCCTGTGCAACCAAGGATTTTTCTTCAGAAGCAGGCATTAGTGGAATCAGCTCTTCCTGAAAAATGGCAGAAAGTAATTGCATGTACAAAACATTACAAAAAAGCAGATCTGAAACCAACAAAAAAGATATATAAAACATTGAACAGACTAGTTACCTCAGCGCCTGACTTCAGAGTTTGAAAATATTTTGGAACCTTGTAACTATTTGCTGCATGATGTATGCAGAATGGTTGGTATCCCATGCTACTGAAATGCTGGGGTACCTTGGGATAAAACAAAAAGCAAAAACAACAGACATCCTTGATAATCAAATGAATGAACCAAATTAAGTTTTAAATGTACAGTATCTTATTGTTCATGATTAACACACCCAGCATATAACTTGGTACAAAAGACCTCCTGGTATAGGAAAGATGTTCAGATATGTGCTTTGAATCTGAAGCAGAAAAGGTCTTTCATAGGCACAGGTGGGCATACATGTCTCTCTTGTTGGACTCCCTAAAGAGGGTGCACTGGGCTCACACAGTACTTGTGCAATCCCAAGAAAATAAGCATTTGAGGTAAGAGGTGCTGACAGGGTGAGACAAGGGAGTGGGCATGAAGGCACTCCTGGGGCCTCCTTATTTGATGATGGTACGGCTGCTATTCAGAACACCCTGCTCCTCTAAAAACAGCCCCCCTCCCTCCCAATTAGAAATGAACTACTGTCATCTCTGGCTGGAGGATCTGAAGTCCTACACACCTGGAGGATGCCCAATTGGAATGGCCACTGTGTTAACTTCTACTACTTCGTACATTAAATACATTAATTTAAACACAGAACTTGACATGATCAATTGTAGCTAACCTTTAGGTCAAAAAAGTGGTGGAGCTGTTTGAGTTTAACTGCAGCAGACTTGACAGGAACTATACCCAAAACTTCTGGTGCCTGGAGGGAGAAAAACCCAACAAAACCAGTTGGCACGTGGACATGTATTTCTGCTCATTTTTTAAAAAAATCCATCAGTATCAGACTGATATACATTTTGTTCATAGTGTAGCTTATATATCACATTAGTCAACCATGATTTGTAAAAAATAAATTATCACACATATATTTACTTGGTTCACATTTAATACTAGGCTATCATACGGTTGTTTCTGTTGCTTACTGCAATGGGAAAACTTACTCATCACAGTTTAGCATTATGTGCAAACCAATGGCTTGTTCAACAAGAATGTTTAAAAGCATCCTGGCTTCACGATGTGTATAAATGCAGCCAAGATTATTTTCACGAGGATCAAAAGGAGAAGTGTGATCACATCATGGCAGATCCAGCAAAGAGCCAAGACAAGGATGCAGCCATTTCTGCCATTCTCTAACCTAAAGTGAACTATGGCTTGTAAACTACAATGGCTGGTTCACACAACAAACCGACAACAATAACAACAACAACAAGAAATAAAGTAGATTTTGCCATAGAGCATCACATGAGCAA